CGGTACTGGATTTTGAAATTATCAATTTCATCCCATAACCCAAGTGCCAAATGCATATGTTCTGCATGTTCCGGTGCGAGGATGAGGTAAACTAATAGCAAGCTGCGAGGTTACACAAAACACTTCAATTACTGGACAAAACTTGAAACCGGTGTCAAAATTCTAGAATTTAACATTTTCATTTCGGCACATGATGCTGGTCATCTCATTATCGTTTCGAACGTTCGTAGCAACCTGAGCTTTACACCGTTGAACAAGCCGGGGGAGGCGATGTTACATGTTTTGCCCTGTAAGTTCGCTGCAAACGCATGAACGTTCATTTACGCTCCGCAAACAATTAACGGTTCATTGAACATTAGACTTTTCCTTAGCAGCGAATCAGGCAGATGCTTAAATACATGCCTCAAGGATGTCTTAAGTAAATCAGCAATTAGTTAAGGGTTCAATGCATCCTAGACAAGATTTTCGACAAAAATGTCCCTCGTCTGTTCGCTGCAACTTAAAAGACTTCAGCACGAAAGCAAACATTTTATCAACAGCTGGGGCATACCGGGGCACAACAGCCGTGGCACAAATGCATTATAGAAAAGGAAAGTGTAGATTTGTTAAGGATTATTCCGGAATGTTTCCCGCACCTACTGTATAAGCTGGTGCACATGCAAGCTATGAAAACAATAGAACCTCGATGGAAAACGGGATATGGAATTTTTTAGGCCGTGTAGAGCAGTTCGTTTCACCGCAGTAAAAAATAACATTGAAATAAAACTAATGAAACAAGATTTCTGTCTTATTTTCGCTGCCGCTGCTACGGAATCAATGGATCAACCAATTTAGTCTTTTTGCGAATCTCAAATTTGCTATGGAGAGGAAGAACAGCAAGTACAAATAACGCAATAAATTGTGAGTGACCATCATATCAAATCACTGTAACAAAAAAACAGGTGGTAACAGATGGCACAAGCATCAGTTTGTTGAAAAGCGGGCTGCTAAGTCTTCTAGGCAGTTTTCTTAAAGTTTATTAACGGTTAGTAACGAAAATAATTAGATTTTATGGGTTACACATAAGATATATTTCCCTACCATTAAAGTATGATTGAAGAATGTGCAGTTCGGTATTTGAATCGAAGAGAATTTTTTCCTGTTCTACCGTTCTTTCATTACAGTAGATTCAGAATGATCTGAAGTTAAAATTTTCTGTGATGCAAAATTGCTTTACTGTACACCAATTTGATATATCACTAACAATGCAGCATAAATTTCTTTAGGCTAGTCTGCGTGTGGAAGACGCGAGAGCAACAACATAAAATTCGACTGTTTCGCTCATATGCTAATAAAATTACATGAGTGTTTCATTATTCACAGTATGAATAGGGAAAGTGAGAAAGTTCATTGTTAAACTTCTTCGTTATATATCGATAAAGCTGTCTTTTTTATGAAACTATGTCCAAAACAACAACTCTCGTTGTTTATTGATATTATAGGCTAATAAATTTTTATTCTTGTTCGCTTTCTTTAGGTGAATGTAATTTCGCGCAGAGTCAGTTGCTTCTATGTTGCATATGATGTTTCGCCATGCTGCTGTTAGTGTATCGATCATTACAACTAAGTTCTGTAAAGACTCCGTAAACCGTCTAAATTTTGTGTGTTAAGGAGAAAAGTTTCAAAATTTTTTCCAACTATTCCCGCCAAGGATCAAGGGCACAGCTACCGCAGTACAAACGCTCCATTTATTTTCCACCACATTTGCAGCTATTGTTTTGACTCTGACACGCTACTTGAAATAAATGGAATGGTGAATAGACACGAGGATGTTGATTATTCAGAGTATGACGTTACAGTATGAGCAATAAAATGCTATATTCTGTGAGAATGCTTCGATTTGCCTTTCAGTGCTCATTTCATTTCTCCTTGCAATAAGAAAAAATTGATTGCAGGACTAATTTCCAAAGGACTCCTGTCGAATAGCGTAATTTATTTTGAATGCGAATGTAATTTAATTTATTGCATATCACACTACGTTTGTGAATTCTTGAAATGATCGGTGTCATAAGTATTTGGTTCGTGCTATGGTTGTCATACTGAAAACCCGCATAGATGGTTTAATAATATACAGTTCAAATGTTAATGTAATTAGTTCGGTAGCTAACCACTACCGTATTTCGGTCCTTGCCTCACGGTCCTTCTTTAAAGTAGTAAGTAGCTGATATGGTTACACGGAATAATTGTCTGTTTCTTTCTCAGTGTTGTGGGCAGATTGCTGGTTCATATGTTTGCTACTAACTATGCACTGAGATGCACTACTACCACCGATATCCCATTAATTTCCCGATTAGTGCTACACCTATTGATCGTCATTAAACAGGCAGTAGTTTTACAGATTTAAGCCCACCAGAAAGACGACTTTCAGTGGTATGCAACATACAGTTGATTGTTGTCCTTCTTATGAAATCGTAATGGTTGCTCCATCTACTGATTTCGCACTAGGCTTTTTTTCCAAACTTCATTACACTGATATCTATTTAAATTAATTGTACTATGGTTGGCATCAGTTATAACGGTACGACCTGTGGATATTATCATTTGATACAAATTGTCGCATTTCAACTGTCATACCTTATTACTTCATTGTATTTGCCTATTTTTTTTTGGAAAGAAATAGGTTAGGCTTGAAATATCTGTCGGGCATGAAGTTGCATTAATGCTCATAACTGGACAGCTCTTTCACTGAAGTTTATGAAATAATACTTCAAAGACTAATTCACTGTAACATTCTGGTTGAATATTCGGTCGACTTAATGTTACACAATACACAGTTGCTTATCACACGATTTTCAGGTATTAACTCAATCTTATTGTGGCGCACGAAAGTCATTGAGCTAATTTGGAAAGGTTCTTCTCCTTCTCACAATGAAACTCGTTAGGTTTCTGATGAAACTAAATCAGGAAACTGTAACTATCGAACTGAAGAACGGCACACAGGTAATAAATCACTAAATTCGTGAGTGCGTTGCGTATTCGTTAAATTTCTTGTCTGTATTTTTAAAAATTGTTCTTCAGTTTCGATCTAGCGAGAACAACATTTTGAGACTTCTCTATTTTATTTAGAAGTTTATTATGTTTTATCTGTAAAAAATTTACGCTTATACTTTATATTTACACGAATTTAGAGAATAGAGAAAAGGTTCATATATCGTTTTCGAAGTTTCTGTCTCGTGTGCTGTATTATCTGCTGTTATTTTGTTAATTTACATCACCAAATCTACAGTGGTGTTACTCCCTACGATGGTACATTTGAGAAACTGCCCGAGGGTTATGATAACATTGGATCCGTCTTCTAGTTTCATGAAGGACAAGCAGAATTATTGAAGCTTCAGATATGGTCCAGCTTGTAAATCTTATGGCTCTTTAACTTGGAACTAAAACGTATTGCTAGACGAAATAGTCTCGTTATAGACATTTGATAAAGAAACAGATATGCAGTGATATCGTATATTATTTTTTCAAGCTTGTACTTATGCTGTTGCTAGTAGTCTGCCATGCGTTGACCAGGGTTGCTTTCTGCCGGTGCTTTGTTGACGTTTATTGCACTCTACTATTTAGTTATACTTGCTTTCGTTTTCTGGCTCCCATGCGAACAACACCTGCTGGATTAGGGAGTGAATGATATTAAAGGTAGCTTCTGAGAAACCCAAACACCGGTTTCCGGTTGTCCCCAAGTTACTCTCCTATGCTTAGTTTAAAGCTTAAAATTTGCTTTAGTTTTTTTTAATGCTGGTAAGATGTCGAAAGAAATAGGCAATAATGTAAGAAGGCGAAAAGCGTGCAAAATATTCAGCCCCTATCTTGTGAGCCAACCCAACAATTATGTCCCTTTTTCATCGTCGCGGCTCAAGCGCCTGTTTTTCCCTGATGATGGCCGTGTTGCTTGCTTCACTTCCTCTATAGCACAAGCTTAGTAACAGTCCATAATTTCATATTTTAACTATTTTCCTGCACTTGTTTCGTTGAGAGTATGACAGAGCATCGATCGAAATCCTTGCCAGAGAGTAAAATATCTACTTTTACAATTAGTGCCTGTGGGGGGAACGGTAAAACCTTTCTTTTTGTGCTTTAGGCATTTTTTGACAATTTGGAGAGCGGTCTGGAGAAAAAGGTGTGTTATTGTAAGCAGGCCGGTTTCAAGGATTGTCAGGATGTTAGTAATATTGGAGTAATATCAGAATCGTTTTATGTGTGTATGTAGTTTCATATATTCTATTTATTTTAATTTTTGTGTTGATATCAAACAGTCTGTTTTATCTTTACAAGCAGTTGTAGCTATAGCATTCAGTTTTACTAAATAATGTTGTTATTGTTGTCGTCTTCATCTGCAGTAACGGGGTCAAAGACCGATTGCTATATTAATGATCTACAATGATCAGGCTTCTCAGGATGATTGAGGTGATGTTGGTTACTGCAGCAAAAGTCATATTCTTCGTCGCAGTGAATGATGACTATGACTATTATTATTGTTTTATCTGAAGTCGAGATCCATCATATGCTTCATTCATCCTCGAAGTATAATCGTCCTTTATAAACTTACCATGATCGTCATAAACTAAAAGATAGATGATTGTTTTGTTTTTGGCTTTATTTTATTGTTCGTAATTTTTTGTAATAGATTAATATTTCATTTTTCAGGTTCATGGTACGATAAACGGTGTAGACGTTGCGATGAATACCCATCTCAGAGCAGTGAAAGTAACTCCAAAGAACCGGGATCCGATTCACTTGGATACGCTGAGTATCCGTGGAAATAACATAAGGTATTTATGAATTAATATGCTGTTGTTGTGAACCAACACACTTTACGAAATTGGAATGTTACGGAAACCCTTTGCCAAGAACAGGTGAAATCTACCATCGAAAAAAAGAGAATGGTAGCAAAGCTGACCGTCTGCCCACACCTTTCTAAAAGATTCTGTTAGAATTATACGGGGGGACCAGGACGGTAGTTCTTTAGCTCTAGCTTCCACTGTTATCTCGTTAAGTGACCGTTTAAACGTTGATTAGGTTTTGCGGCATCCGTGGTGCAAAGGGGAAGAATATATGCATGATCCTGGTACCGTTTATGATGATAATTATGTAGGCTTCAGCCTATGTATGACCCTTTAAGGAAGTTTAGTTTATGGGATGCATAACCGAACATCCCTTTGTTTGCTGACCGTTTTTTCGTTTATACGCTTTTACGAATAAGTATGGCGAACACAATTTTTTATATTTCGATTTTGTGACCGAATCTGTCGTAAAGTCAAATTGGATTAGGTTTGGTGAGATTTACAAAAGCAAATGTCATCCCTTGTTTGAAAGGCGGACGAAATGACGAGGAATGGCCTAAGTAACTTCTAGAATCAAAGTTTTTCACAGTAAATGGGCATTGAGGATCGAAATTACTAGAGTGCAAGGTAGTCTTCTTGGAGAGTTTTTTTTACGCATTTCTGGCGTTCCTGGTAATATGATCTTACAGATTTTTAAGTCACCGTTTCTCATGTTCATGATCCTTACATGCATAGTAGTACATTGAAAGTCAGGTAACTAAAGATATATAGCCTTTACGTTGTCGAAGATGCAATATTGCTTTATACTGAATTTTTGACTGGTCTAAGTGACAAAACTACGAATTTATTATATTGCTTGACTGTTAACATCTAGGTACTTCATTCTGCCGGATTCGGTACCCCTGGATCAGTATTTGATCGACGACACGCCGAAAGCCAAACGACGACAGGCAGCGTACGGCGGACCAGGTGCCAGAGGTAGGGGACGGGGTCGTGGCAGGGGAAGAGGAATGCGCGGACGTGGCCCTCCCGGAAGACGAGGTGGACGATAGAAACCGTTAACTTACCGTGACTGTTCATATATCGTTTTTATATGAGTAAACTTTTCTACAGTCTGTCATTTTTGTTACATTATTATTTAGTCGCTAAAGCTAATATGCTATTAGCCTGATACAACTATGTTTGCTTCTATTGAACTACAATGTATGGCTAAACTGGAACAGGGCTTAATTCTGTGGCAGCAGATAGGATCTTCGATCTTTCTTATTCATTGCTTATTTACGAGTAGTATGGCGGTTCCTACTGGATGTTGTCATGTGATGCAGCTGTTGCAGCATTTTCCAAGAGATGAGCTAGTTGCCTACAAATAAATGTTAATGGGCAGATGACGAGGATCTTGTCTATTTCCTATTGCAATGGAATTCGGTATCATTGAATTGTATATCATCTATTCAGAGACTATGCTTATCATGTTCATGAGACTATACGCTCTTTGGACACGGCTGTGAATGATGCCCGTCATTATGCAGCCAAATCTTTCATTCTGAATCAGTTCTTACACATCTGATTCAGAATTTCGACAAGCTTCGATTTAGTTACAGCGCATTTTATGATCAACATGCCATTATTTTCGTGTCTGTACATTTTAAGGGGAAGCATTTATTACCGAAATCTCAAAACAGTAGTTCATTTACAGATCATTCCAGATTTGCAGCGAAGCTTTCCAGCTGGCCATGTCATGTTTTAAATTCAATGTTTCAGCCTTACATGTCGATAAAATTTAATATATTAAAGGCCGCCTTTCATTCATACGAGCAATGTCGTCTCTATACACTCCATGAGACATTTCTTACGGTAGGATTAGTGTAATCCAAATAGTTGGTTTTAAATCTAATAAAATGCCGTCTCTACCTAGGACATGGATAAAAAAACAGATTCAAAGTGGTAATCTGCCCATCTCGGTATGGACTGAAACAAATTTGAGTTTGATCGAAGTCTATAATAGCGTGATTTTACTGTCGTTAACACGCACATACACCTGCGGTTCAAGGCACGGCTTTTGTAGGCACTATTGGGGTGAAATTACACGTTATCAGTGTGGTTTGAAAACAAAATTAGTTTCGGTTTAGACCGGTATGGCAATCACAACTGAAATTCGTCATCAAGGAATTATAACAAGCTGGTGACGCGATACTGGTGTACCGTTGTTTCCACAGTGAAATCTAGTCATTGTTCTGCTTTTGTAATTTTTATGTAAATGTTACCGTTTTATTCTGAGGAATGTTATTAAATTAGGTAGAAGTTTTTGACTGATTCTTGTCGTGCACTCCAAACTAAAAGTCCAAATGAAAGTGCAGTATATGACCAGGTATGATGCGATATAAATGGAAATAAATTTGCGTTACGAAAACAGGTTTAAACATCGCTCAGTATGTTCACAATATACGAGTAGGGGTAATTCGAAGAAAGGCTAGAAGGTGCTGCAATTCATCCGCTGATGAGAATTGTTATAATGCACATCTCAAAATCTATTAAGGCTCTGGCTATTGAATGAGCACAATCTCGAACATCGAAAAGCCATGGTCAGTGCGGAAATGTGAACTCTCACTTCAAGTTGCAACCACCTAACCACACATTTTTCTGGTAGGAAATTTTGCACACCTCCATTTCGCAAATTGCCGTTTGACAGATCGAAGAAGACAGTTTCCAAGTTTTCTTTCTAATCCTGTTGTAATTATTTATTTACCAGCAACTATTATGTGTTCTGTTATAACGCAGTAATTTTTTAAAAATTAATAATTTCATGCAACCTTTATCTACATCGCTAATAAAGGCGTAACCTACTATGACTATTGAAGGTACAAACTTCTTTCCAGGAAGCTAAGTAGGTTGTTTTTGAAACGATCTGTAAATCTTGTAATGCTGTTACGTCAACAACGTAGTAAAATCATTTTGTGAAAGGTCATCATTTGTAGTTATGCTAAGCATTCAGGCTCTGCAACACAACGCCGAACTAGCGGTAAGAATATAGTGCAATAGGCGGCTATGTCATGGAATAATGTAACTAATATTAATTTATCGTCTGAACTTAAGGAAAGTGGTATCCAGAGCATTTTCTGAAAACATATACTCCTTCTTAAACTACAGATATCACCAGTTCGTCCACTCTTTCAAGCCGATGGGGCCAGTGTGAAGTAGGGTTAGTAATGTGCTGCATGCTCTAGAGGTACCGGGTTCAGAAACTCACAAAGAACGGCGTAATCTTATTGTAACTGCTAATTCCATTAGGCAAAGAATTTTCCAGTCAAGAAGCGATTAGCAAGTCGGTGATCTGCGACAAACAGGACTGGCATGATGTAGAAAGACCAGAGTTTGCAACACCTATGATGGTACGGTTTGAAATATGCGCTCTGATGGTTGCAATTTGCCTGGACTCAAGCGATAGACGACTAGATGTGCAAAATCAATACAAGATGAATTAAACAAAAGGTTTGGCCCTCAACTTCGACAAATCTACCAGTAAACCGATAAACAAACAGTCTACAAGTGAGTTAATGATAAAAAGATAAGTTACCAGATGAACTAAGTAATCAGCATGCTGAACAAATCAACATAACTTTTAACAGGCTGTCATAGGTTAAAAAAGTGAAACGAAACAGCTGATTTGTATTTGTAAAGTCAACAAATAACAGACTGCTGCCGTAAGAAAAGCAATTAAAACAAAACAAGTGGTTCAACCTTAATTAGTTAAATTTTTAATGAGCTAAAATTTTCAAAGAAAACTAAATAATGAGGTCGTTGAACAACAAATGGTTCTACCATGGAGCTGCGAGCTCGATGAATGAAACGGTTCAAATGTCGGATGGATCGGACCGAGGTCACAGAATCATTTTTGTCAAGCAGAACAATTCATGGTTAACATGTCTAAACAGAGAAATGATGCAGCTGCTGTCGCCTCATGAAAGTGATACAGAACCGAAAATTTGCTTG